GCATTGGTGTACGCGACTGGGCATGTTGACGCGCACCTTGCACGTCTACGCGCATGACTGGGGCCTGACTGCCGAGTACTGGGCACGCGTGCGCGTTACTGGGCGCACGGACGCTGCCTGCGTACTCGCTTGGCCTGCCGGGCGCGCCTGCACGCTGTGCGCGATAGGCATCACGGTCGGCATTTCGCCGGCCGTCCGGCTACTTTTTCCGGCAATCCATACATGACTGATTATATTTTGATTTAAAATGACAGAAAATACATAGATTACTCGGGACTTTCCGGCTTTATTTTGAAATCACTCGGAGGGAGCTTATATAGCACCTCCGAGGCCATTTTGCTAAAAGAACTTGGACCGAACTACATGACTTTGGCATGATCTTATTAACATGAATTTAATTACATAAAAGGAGGGTAAATAGGGGTATACTCTTCAGTTCAGTCGAGGATTGTACGGCGATATGCGTGTGTGTGCAAAGCTTGAACGCGTGCGCCTTAGCTTCCCTTATGCTTCGATCCTTCTTAGCTATTTTTGTAGTATTTTTCTCTTATTTTTCCTTGATGTTTTCTCTCTCAAATATATGCTGAAGTTGGTCGGATTTTGGTGCATGAAATGTGCATGAAAAAGTTACACGCACTGTTACTTATGGAGAGGTAAAACCGAGGGTGAACATTCGGTCAAAGAGGTGGTGAATGACGTTATTTCCCTTGATTACAAGTGGCATAAACGTGGCTGAAGTGTGGGTGATTTTGGCTTGGTCATTGCCGAGGTGGCGGCCATGCACGGGCTTAGTCATCGCCCGTGCGTCCGTGTCGAGCCGTGTGTGCAAGCAAGGAGGTGACTCACCACCCCACTTGCACACCCAACATTTATCCTTTGAATTTCCCTCACGGTAATTCTTAGGATGGGGGTTTGGCCTGATCGTGTTGCTAAGAATTGCCTAAGTGCGGGCTTAGCGGCCTAATGATGCGCGCGCAATGGTAGATGCGCGCGCAATGGTAGATGCGCGGCAATGCGCACTGCGTGCGTTTGCGTGCGCGGCTTCACGTACGGCTGCGTGCAACGTGCGCGTACGCGTAGGTGCATGATGTACCTTGTGCTCGCTCACGACTTAGTTTAGTTCTTAACCTCAAACTTAGATCCAAACATTCTTAACTTTCAATAATTAATCCCGATTAATAATGTTCGTTTATTAAAATAAATGGTTCAGAAATTAATTATCGAATTTGACTCGGTTAATAATTAACCGAATAGACTTTTCGACTTCAAGTCAAACTTATCTGCTGAAAATGAACGGAATCAATAAAAGATAATACATCATTATTATTAACAAGAAGTTGGGTTATTACATACAAGGTCAAGGTTTGGCCGTACACACTGACATGGGGAGTTTGGTGTTCGGTGATGGCGGCGGCAGCTCTTGTGTGAGTCAACGATCGACCACTGCAGTTGGCCTCACGTC